TTAAAATAATATAATTTAAAGATATTATTTTACCTAATTTTTACTATATAAACTGATACCCTAATGTAACCTCTTTAAATGGTCGCCAACTCTTATCTTGAACACACCGTTGCCATAAAAAGAATAAGCATTTTTGTCAATTTCTTCATTCTGATTGGATTTAAAAACCAAAAACCAGGGGCTTTTATCCGGAGGCAAACAATGCCAAAACAAGTGGCCACTGAATCTTAGTATTTGATTATCGTGGAAAATGCCGATTCCTTTTGGATTCGTGTCTCAACTCAATCTTTGAAGCAAAAGGTACTTTTTTGCAAATTTTATCTTGGAAAAGATGGGGGTCATTTTCTGAGAAAGGGAAAGAAGAAGTGCTGGAAAATTCTGAAGATCAAAAGGTTGAAAGAAGAAGAAAGGATAAATTCCATCTTGCAATTGGGATGAAAGGTAAGCTTCATGATATAAACAAGAGGTTTCCATTATTTCATCTTTTTGTTACTACAAAATGAAAGAAACTCCCTTTTTTTTTTTAAGGTTTATTTTGATTTTTATAATTCATCTAATGTCCCTACCAATTTGCATTGACAAAAAGGTTTGGTTGATTCAATTCCAAAGTCAATCACTCACTTACCTTTCTTTCCTCTTTGTAAAACTTGTGAAAGAAATTAAAAATTTTTTTTTTTCACATGTATCATGTTTGTTTTTTTCACAATTTCAAAGGTATCATGTTAATGTATAAGTATATTTTTAAAATCGTTAAAAAAAAAGTAATTTCATATAAATGGTATAACAATTAATTGTCTAAAAAAAAGGACTATTATTAGGACAAAAACTAACCAAAAAAAAAAAAATTCACCTACATTTCTAGGTAAAAAAAAGTAGAGATAATCTAGAGATTCTGGCGATATAAATTAGGCATGACAGCTAATTTACTGTATATAATGGAAATGAAAAGGAAATTCCACCCAACTCTTCTAATTTATGATTTGCCCTAAAGACGAATCTTCATCTACTCTTTTTCATTCTCAAAATTCTCTCCATAAACCAAAATTTTATGTGCATTTTCGCTTATAGATTCTGATTTTTTCTTAGCGTTATTCACCTGCATTCAGCTGATTCTTCGCCGATCAGGTTATTCTCCGACGTTTTGTTGTTTTCCGTTGCTGATCCTGTTAATTATATTCATTCATTCTTGGATTTTCGTTTGTTTTTCTGTTTCATTTGGAACGAATTGAATTTCACCTAAGAATCTGAAATTTGGTGTGTGAAAATCTTAATCGTGTTCCCTGTTCTCTCAGCTTTTGTGTTTTGTTGGAATCATTTGGGTAATGTTGAATTTTCGTTCTTGAGTTGACTTTGATTCAGTCACTGCTTGTACTCATTCTTGCTCATCTGTTATTTGTTATTTCAGAAGTTGGGTTCTATTGATTCTTGATTTTATCTATCTGGGTTATCTGGTAATTGATTATTTAGCCATTGCATGCTTTCTGGGATTCCTGTGAAATGGTAAATTTTTATAAAGGGACGATCTTTGAGAATTGGGAGATTGTTTTTCAGCTAGTTTTTGCATATCTTTTTTTCTGCAGGAACAATGACTGCCATGGTTGCAAAGCGAGAACAGTTTAACAGTTATAGTGGGGACGATAGGGAGAGAGGCCGGCGACCTCTGAATTCCTGGCGTATGACAAAGAAAAGGAATTCAAAGGTTGTCCGAGATGAAGATGGTAGATATGTATCAGAAAAGGAACGGAAGGAAAAATTTCGGCCATTTTTTAGCACAATAAGAACTTCATCTGAGAAAAGAAAGGTAACTAGAGAGATTGAGTTCTTGGAGGATGAAAGGATACCAAAGAAGTATTGCAGTGGCATAAACAGGGGAACTACTTATACAGAGGAAAATGTACTAGATGAATGGGATGAAGCAGAAATTGTTTTTAAGAGAATTAGATCCAAAAGGAGAAATGAAGATGGTGCAGTGACCAAAAGAAGCTCAATAAATGTAAAAGAGAAAGATTGTGATATCACTTGTACTTCCTGTTCATCTCCATCGTCTTCATCATCTTCCAAACTTTCTGTCTCGTTATTGAAAACTTATGGTAATATCTGTGAGAAACGAAAAAGGAGACTTATAAAGGTAAAAATATTTTATATATATTTCAACTCTGCAATGGAATTTTCTTTGTTATACTGAATATTTATTTCTTTCCTTATTAACTTTCGGACATAATTGGTAGAAATCTTCCTTAAATCAAGACAAGAGAGAAGACATCAGGTGTCATCAGTGCATGAAAGAGAAGAAAATTGTTGTTCCATGCAAGGAATGTAAGGAAAGAGTGTATTGCATCCAGTGTATCAAACAGTGGTAAAATTTCTTCAACATGGATATCTTTCTTCCCATTTTTAATGATCTTCTCTTATATCCTTAGATTCTTTACCCTTTTTTAACTATCTTCTCTTATATCCTTATTTCTGTATTGGTTTATATAGGTATCCCAATATATCAGAAGAAGAAATTGCAAAGCGGTGCCCATTCTGTTGGAAGAATTGCAACTGCAGCTTTTGTTTGCACTCAAGTGGATTGATTAAGGTCTCTCTTTATCTTCACTTACCTTTTAATTTTTATTCTTTTTTCTGAGGACATTTCTAAAGCAACAACCTTATATTGCTCTGTTAACACCAAGTGTTGCTGAAGGCACTGGGCGCCCTCTGCCTGGTGCCTAGGTGCTGCCTAGACCGCCTTGGTGATTTGTGTGCCACATTGTTTTAAAAAATGAACATTCTCAAAAATTCAAAAAGCTGGGGAAAAAAAACCATTTAGAAGTCTAAAACCAATTAATCAACAAAACTTAATACAAGTCTAGAATTAACATAGCTGAATTAACATGACTGAAATCAATTAATTAAAGTGAAGGAGAGGAAGAACCGAAGCTGGAGAAAACCCAAAAGGATTGGCCAATTTAGGGCTTTTTTCTTTTTGTTGACCTTTGATAACCAAACTATGCCACTTGTTCTTTATTTGTTAAAAGAATTGAAAACAAAATGGTGTGGTTTATTTTTTTTTTTAGAAAAAAAGTTGAGGGTGGGATTGCCTTGCTGCCCAAGTCAAGGCGGGTGGCATGGGCTGCCAAGTGCATATGTGCTGCCCAGCCATGCCTAGGTGGTGCCTTTTGCAACACTGTCACCAAATACCTTTTGGGTTTGAAGGTGAAGGTTAGAGGACTGGCATTTTAATATATGAAATACTCCATCTATCATCATCTAATAAAGTACTTATTTATTTTCCTATTGTAAAGACAACAAAGATGGATGTCACCAATCATGAAAAGGTTCAACATCTCCAGTACTTGATTGAGTCTTTGCTTCCCTTCTTGAAACAAATTCATGAAAGACAGGCTCAAGAGATAAAGATTGAGGCCGACATTCAAGGTGCATTTTCTTCTGGCTTTGGATAAGATATTTTAACAGTTAACAAGTTGCTGAATAAAAGTTATGTTTAGGGTTATTGTCAGCTGAGGTTGAAATACCAGAGACTCTTTGTTACAATAATGAGCGTGTCTATTGGTAAACACCTCTCTTTACTCAGGAGTTTGCAACTGTTCATGCAATTTATTCCATCTTCATCAAAGTTCTTGCTGATTCACTTCTGTCTCTTTGGAGCAGCAACCACTGTGCAACTTCAATTGTTGACCTTCATCGAAGCTGCCCAAAATGTTGTTATGAACTCTGTCTTAGTTGTTGTCAAGAAATTCGTGAGGGAAGCCTCTTCAGCCGTGCTGCAGTCAGCTTTCAGTGTATAAACAGAGGTTACAATTATGTTCATGGCGGAGACCCTTCAATAGATTCTTTTCTGTCTGAAACAGCTAAGGACTATGTTGCATCATTGGTTCAATGGAATGCGAATGAGGATGGAAGAATTACTTGTGCTCCAAAAGAAATAGGTGGTTGTGGTGAATGCACACTGGAGCTCAAGCGTATACTTCCTATTGGATGGATTTCAAACTTGGAGACTAAGACACAGGATTTGTTGAGGATTTCTCAAACCACACAAAATTTTTTAAAGCATAAATCTTCTAAATCAGGTGCAGAGATGTCCTGGACAGCAGCATTTAGAGAAGGGTCTGATGACAACTACTTATATTGTCCAACTGCACATGACATTCAAGGGGAAGAAGAGCTTCTCCACTTTCAAATGCACTGGGCTAAAGGTGAACCAATAATTGTTAGGAATTCTCTTGAAAATGCAACTGGTTTAAGCTGGGAACCAATGGTTATGTGGCGTGCATTGTGTGAGAATGTGGATTCAAAAATCAGTTCTAAGATGTCAGATGTCAAGGCAATAGATTGCTTAGCGAATTGTGAGGTTTAGTTCTATTGTCCTTCCTGCCACTTAGACCAATTCCTTTTTCTTTTATATGCACTTTCTTTACGTAACTTTGGTTCCCAACATGGGGTTTGCCAATATATGTAGGTGGAGATTAATACTTACCAGTTTTTCAAAGGTTATATGGAAGGGAGAAGATATGGTAACTTCTGGCCTGAGATGCTCAAGCTTAAGGACTGGCCCCCATCTGATAAATTTGAAGACCTTTTACCACGCCACTGTGATGAGTTTATCAGTGCACTGCCATTTCAGGAATACACTGATCCTAGGTCTGGTATCCTTAACCTTGCTGCGAAGCTGCCACCTGGTGTCTTGAAACCGGACTTGGGACCAAAAACATACATTGCTTACGGTCTTGCACAAGAGCTTGGAAGAGGGGACTCTGTGACCAAGCTTCATTGTGATATGTCAGATGCAGTATGTCTCCTTATTCACACTGCAAATTCTGAATTGTAGTGTTTAAGAGTTCTACTTCTGCATATTTATCTATATTTTGGTAACAAAATGAGCTTCAGTTCGCTTCTTGTGTCTTATTTATTGCTTTTGCTGTCATTCATATAAATTGGTTAGCACTTGTGATGAGTTTTTTAATTAGGATGTGATTTCCTAGTGAATGGTTCACATTTTATTCATGAATCTGTGAGATCTAGCATGAGCATGCCCAACTTCAAGGCAGGATATATTTTAGGAAAATTACGGGTGATTGAATTATTCTGTGGTTTACTGCATCTCTTCTCATATCATCTGGATTGGTTACTGCCTAATGCAATTACCTTTATTACAACCTCTCTTGATTGTCCATTTTTAATTATTAATTGGTGTAGGTGAACATTTTGATGCATACTGCTGATGTAATGTTAAGTGAAGAGCAGCTTTCTGCAATTGAAAGATTGAAGAGTAAACACAAGGCACAGGATGAAAAAGAATGTTTAGAGCGAGATGGTGTAGAAAAATGTTCTATTAAATTGCTTGATGAAGGGAGCATGGATTGGCAAGATGGGGTGAATCTCTCAAGAATGACTGATCAAAACCCGCAGCCTTCTGACACTATTGAAGGGCTTAAGATTAACAGAGATGAGCAGGACACAAGATTTCCCTGTCACCCCATAGAGGAAAAGGAGGAAACAGCAGGGGCTGCTTTGTGGGACATTTTTAGGAGGGAAGATGTGCCTAAGCTGGAGGCATATCTTAGGAAGCACTCCAAAGAATTCAGACATACTTACTGTTCCCCAGTTGAAAGGGTAATTTTTGACTGCTTGGAATTTAGCTTATCCATGTCACATATGTTCAAGATTCTAACAATCATTATTATTTTATTAGGTCATCCATCCAATTCATGACCAGTCCTTTTATTTAACTTTGGAGCACAAGAGGAGACTAAAGGAGGAATATGGTTAGTATAAGAGATCTTGGGAAGTATTTAAACTTTAGGAAAAATTGCACCTGCACCCCTTGTGGTTTGGGGTGGGTGCATTTTGGCCTCTGACTTATGAAGTGGGGATATTAACCCCATGTAAGAGGTTTCAAGGCAATAGAAAGTCAAAAATGCCCTCATAATTTTGATTAAATGTTAATTTTGGTCCCTCAACTTTAAAGTTTTGCATAATTTTCATCCATCAACTTTTTTATGCACTTTTTTGGTCCCTTAACTATGAAAAATGACTTTTTTAGTCATTCTATCAATTAGTTTGTTAAAATATGCACATTTTTAGTCCCTTAACTAGTCCCTCAACTTTAAGTTATGGGACAAAAAATGTGCATGTATTAGAAGTTGAAGGACTAAAAATGTACAAATTCAGATAAACTTAACGGACTAATTGACAAAGGGACTAAATAAGTGCATTTTTTAGAGTTAAGGAACAAAAAAAGTGCATAAAAAGTTGAGGGATAAAAATTGTGCAAAATCTTAGAGTCGAGGGATCAAAATTGGCATTTAACTTTTTTGTTTTCCATTCCCCCTTCTTTCTTATCATTTTCCTCCCTACCTTTTTTTCCCTTCTTATAATGTAGCGTGTGGTATGACACCTTGTCCATAATGGTGGGAAACCAACTTTTGCCATATCAATTCCACTTTCCCTTGGTAACTCACCTAAACTTGAATGCCTATAGAGCTTGTGAAGGCACTTCTTTGATAGAGCTTGAACATTGTTTGAAACCCAATATCACCCTTTTTGTACACAAGAACGAGGCGCACAAATGTAATTTGGGCCTAGAGTTCAAGCAGTTATTGCTTGATCTTAGAAATAGGTGGTCTTGTCAAACTTATTGCTTTACCTCACACTGTTAATAAGGAAAGAGTCTCACCATTAGCCTAACTTGACCACCAAGTTAATTCACCACCGTAGTTTTGCCAATGATCAAGTCAATGGAAGAGCAAGAGGGCAATGAAAGTTCAAGTTAGTGGAAGAGCAAGAGGGCAATGAAAGTTCATTTGTGCAACATTGTCCATCATCCAGCTAGCACGAAGACAATGATCAAGTTGGCACTAATCCCTTTCCTAATCAAAGAAGTTTGTAGTTGATCTATGCTATACCTAAAGTCCTTCTTGAGAATGATTCTAGAATGAATTGAAACTAGCCTTGCTAAGCTTGATACATTTCCAACCATTCCAATCTACCATGTAAAGGCTCAAGGCCCTTCACTAGCATTGGTAATGGCTCTGGGTCTAGGAGAGACTTTCAAGTTGAGGGTTGAAATGAAGGAAGATGATACACACAATGTATCTGATAACAAAGCCTCAACAATGATAACAAAGCCTCGACAACAATAAGATAGACAAATTACCTTTCTAAAATAATTTTTACTAACAAATAAGCCCCTAAACTTATAAAAAATGACAAATAGGTGAAAAGCAAATGGAAAAGTTGAGGTGGAAGTATGAAAATGTGGTCCCTTTTGTCCTGGATCTTCCTCACCTATTTTGGTATCAATGTTTGGTGGCAGAGGCAAAGAGAGAGAAGGTTGTATGCGAAGAGAAAATTATGGTGGAGGTGGCAGAGGCACGAGTGAGAGGGGAATGGATAGGTATGGAGAGGGGGAAGGAAAAGCTTGAAAAAGGGAGAAAAGGAAAAGGTTGGACATAATACTGTTCGTGGTGATTGTGGGAGGAAGGTAGTGGTGGGTGCTAATGGCATGGTTTCCTTTTGGTTGAAGGGTTCAATATGAACCTCCATCTAGGTAAGCCTTTGGCATTATTGCTGTCATGCTGTTGGGTGTGCTGTGCAGTGTAACCAATACCCGAGAGGCAAGAGAGTAGGTGGTGTAATTATACAGTCTTTAGCTATTCTTTTCTAGTTTTGTTTGTCAATTATTCAGGTTATTTTATGCTCTAATGGTATTATTACTCATACCAAATGAGAATAATAAATTGTTAGATTGCCTCTTAGGGAGGTCGAGATTCCATTGTATCGACTTTACCTTTTTTTTAATATAATAGATCGTCTTGATCATTTCCAAAAAAAAAAAAAAAATGTATTAGTGGTTTCGTGTTAGCAGTTTCATCAGAGTCGACAAATAAGAGTGTTGGAATCATTAATAACAACAATTATTAGCCTTGGATTAAACAAAATCATTAATCATTAATTTTAAACTATTAACCATTAGTTTTAATCCTCATACTAAACACCCACTTAAATCGAGTCCACCATAGGTTTTTTCTATGAATAAATGTTGGTGCTATTTTGATTTTGCTACTCCCTCCGTTCTTTTTAGTTATCCCACCTTATGCATTCATAATTACCAAAGAAAACTCATTTGATACAATAATCTGGGTGTAGTTTTCTACTTTTGCCGTTATAATTAAACAAAAAAAATCTAATAAAATTTACTTTATTCTAAATAAGAATCAAATAGAAACAATAACATTCATTGTCTTTTTTAAAAGGTTAAATACCTTTTTTGGTCCCTCTACTATAGGAAAAAGCTCTTTTTTAATTCCTGTACCGAAACAATCCCCTTTTTGATCCTTACTGTTCACAAATCCGGCCCCTTTTTGGTCCCTCTGTTAAATTTTGACTTACCTGGCATGTTAATTAACGGAAAAAAATTTTTTTTTCTTTACTTAAATTACGTGTGAAATCCATTTGGCAAAACTTGATGACATGGCCAAATTTTTATCTTTAATTACCAATTTACCCTCATTTTCTTCCCCCATCCTCTCCTT